GCAGCGGCAGGAGTTGCAGGAAAAAAATACGGCCAATTTGCACAGTAATGAAAAAGGACTTGTGATTGTAAATTTGATATCAATTAGGGACTTAATTACAAATTCAACAATTTTAATAAATTACAATTTAGTTCATGGGTGAATTTGTAATTAATCAAACTATAAATTAATATTTTAACATTTCATTTATCAAATACATTTAATTTAATATTTAATATGTTTATAATTTTATAGTTTTGAAATAAATGTACATAGAAATTTAATAAAAGAAAATAATAGTATTATTTTAAATAAAAATATAAAATTAATATTTTAATATAGTTTATTTTTTATATCGATTATTTGAATAGAAATGACATCATACCAAAATAATTGATATAATAAATAATAATAATAATCGAAATAAAATAAAAAATTTCGTACCGATTTTGATTCGTTCGCTCTGGTTCGATTTTTGGTGCAATCTGGTAGACACTTACGTGCAATCCATATAACCCCAACGTGCACTCGCAATACATAAAAAATATAGATATTTTTCATTATAAAAAAGTTAAAAAAAAATGGGTAATATTTTTTCATATAGTTCGTAATTTCAGTTATTTGGTTTATTTAAAAAAATTATAAACTAACCTTTAACCGACTAATATTATTCAGTCGATTAGCATAATTATTGTAATTTTGGTAGGTGGAGCGTGTTGTTTATAAGGTGCAACATTACGTGTTATAAGGTGCAACATACGGTTGTATAAAGTGCAATGTATTGATTATAGATGTTAAACGGTCCTTGTCCTGACGGGCCGGCACGTTTAGCCCGAAAAAAACAGGGTTAGGGCATTTTTTAGTAGCCCGTTCAAATCTGGGTTTTATAGGCCTGGACCGTTTAAACCGAAGCCCGATAGGGCTAGCCCGAAGCCCGCTAGGGCTACCCGTTTAATTTGTATATTACAACTTCACTATTATACTTTATATTTAACTATGAGTTGTAGCGGGTTATTATAATTTTGAAAGATAATTATTAACTATTTCGTTATTCTACTTCACACCAAATTATTTAAGCCAATTAGAACAACTAATAGAAAATACATGAGACAAAGACCTAACACGTAGAACATAGTGATAGAATATAAATTCAACAGTAAGATACAATATCGTGAAAATTTCCAAAGCGTACAAAAATAAGTAGTAAAGTTGTAATTATAAGTAATAGTTCGAACATTTTTTTTTTCTTTTGAGAAAAACATGTCACTTAAGAGTTTGTAAAGAGTGTTTATACATGAAATGTAGTTGTATATATATATAGCGGTAAATACTAAATAGCCGTTGAAAACAATCGTGAACTAGACGTTGTAATTTTATTTATATATTTTTTTATATATTATTATCATTATAGCCCGTTTAGCCCGAAGCCCGCTAGGGCTAGGGTTAGGGTTAGGTCCTTTTATTGGTAGCCCGTTTAAATTCGGACTTTTTAGGCCCAGACCATTTAGCCCAAGGCCCGTTAGGGCTAACCCGAAACCGCCAGGGCTAGCCCGTTTAACATCTCTAGTATTGATCTATAGAGTGCAATACTGAAAACAACTAATATTATTCGGTCGATTAGCATAATTATTGTAATTTTGGTAGGTTGGTCGATTGGCATAATTATTGTAATTTTGGTAGGTGCAGCGTATTGTTTATAAGGTGCAACATGACGTGTTATAAGGTGCAACGAACCGTTGTATAAAGTGCAATGTATTGATTAATAAAGTGAAATACTAAAAATTTGGTATGTTAGCTTGTTTTTTCGTGGATAGATGATTGATGGATATTAAAGTATTATGTAGAGGGGTAGTTTATTTATTTAAAAAAAAAATTAAGTAGACAAAAATAATAATAAAAAAATGTGTGGAACAAAATCAAACAGCCGTATTCTCGAAATACGGTTTTCTAAAAAAATAATTAACTATAAAAACGTATTCCGAGAATACGTTTTATATTATTTTTAAATAAAAAAAAATCAAACTTCGATTAATATATTTATTCCAATATAAAAAAAAAATAGTAAATATAAAAAGTAAAACGTATTTTAGAAATACGTTTTAGAGAAAACGTATTTCGGGAATACGTGTTATAGAATTTAAAAAAATATATTTTTTAATTAAAACCTATTCTGAGAATACGTTTTACAAATAAAACTGTCGGTGGACGTATTCTCAGAATACGTTTTTAATATTAAATATAAAAAAAAAAATCTTTTCCTCTCCATTTCATTTACGCGAGAGAGCAGAAAAAGAGAGGAAGAAGAAGCAAAAAAATTCGGAAAAAAAAATAAAAAATTCAATCCAATCTTTACCTCGGTGTGAATCGACAACACCGATATGAGCCTCATTTTCGATTAATTCATTCGCACGAGGTACATTGGCTTATCTTTACTTTTTACATTATTTGGAGTTGTTTGGAGATTGAGTATTGTTATAATATGTTTGAATGTGGTTGTCTTTGAAGATTGAAAATTGTTAATTGTTTATCGATTATGTGTGTATGTTGAATTGAGGATTGAAATTTTGTGTGTAAATTGTCAATTGTTTATTGTTTGATTGTTGTTGAGGTTAGGGTTGTTCGAAATTAGGGTTATAATTAGAGCTTTCAATTTATTCGAATTATAGATGAATTTTATGTTATTGTTCGATTATGAGTATTAGGTTTTGGAGGATTATTTGATTGAGAATTTTTTTATTTTTTATTTTTTTGTTGGAGGATTATTTGATTGAGAATTATAGATGAATTTTTTGTTGGATTATTCGATTATGTTATTTTTTTATTTGATTGAGTATTAGTTATTGTTCGATTGAGAATTTTTTTTAAAATTTTATTTAGACATTATGTGTTGTTGTAATTGGAAAGAATTGAAAGTGTATTTTTGCAACAGGTATAAAATGGCTTCTTCCGGTCCGTACCATGTTCAGTTGTACTGGCATTTTGGGAAGGAAATGTTAAGCGATTTTGTTTCGTTTAAAGATCGTCCGAGTGGTTCATTTATTATTCCGGGGAGAATATCATATGAACAGTTGGTACAGATGATTAATGCAAAATGTCAGTTTGAAGAAGGTTGGACAATTCAGGAGATTACTATGATGATTAGCCAACCTGATGGTTCATGGAATCCCGCAATACTCAATAACGATAGTTTTGAATGGATTTATTACTTTCCTAGTATGTCCATGGTGTATTTGCATTTATCGTTGTAGGCAAATACACCTGTTACACATTTTGAGGATTTTACTCCTTGTTACGGGGGAGTGTTTGATGTCGAGGGTACATCGACTTCTCATGTACCTAATTTTGGAGAAGGGACATCGAGAGAATGGGCGGCTGATGAGGACGATGAAGATTTTATTCCCGGTGAAGATGATTTCACAGACGAGACCTCAGAAACCGAATCAGATAGATCGGTAAATGAGGAGAGTGAACCTGAGTTCATCGAAGAAGAACACCCATTTCCTAGCGGTGGTCGACACATATACCGCGAGATGGGTGAATGGGACCCGTCCAGGATAGATGCGAACGAGTATCTATTCCACTCTGGAATGGCGACATTGAGACCATACGTTTGAATACAGTATTCCGGAGCAAGGAAGAAGCTCAAACGGGAATAATGGCTTGGAACGTCGATAGGTTGCGGGAGATTCGGACAAAAGATTCAAATAAGAAGACATTCAAAGTGGTATGTAACTCGAATGCTGATGTGCCTTGTCTGTGGAAGGCTAGGGTGAATAAGGCCAGACGGCGTGATGATTTGTGGGAAGTAACTGAATGGACTGACCAACACACTTGCATGCAACAGGTCGACAGAAATGACCACAGTGTTTGTCCCATTTTTGTTACGTTTTTCTTGATTATTTTCCTTGTCTTCTTCCCCCATTTTATGTTTTTCGTGATAGTTTTGGTGCGTTTTGTTTCTTGTCGTGTGATTTTATTGATTTAGAGTCTCTATATGTTTATTCAGTTATCTTCTTCGTTTCCTCCGTTTTTGTTTTCGTCTAGTGATGTGCAGGTTGAGTTGTTTGATTGTTTGTTTTGTTTTGGGGAAGGAAGTTATCAAATTCGTAGACGGGCGTGGCCATTACAATTGAGAAAATGGGACCAAGTTCCGCTTCCAAACAAGCGAGGCCGAACCCGAGACATAAGCCGTGCAAGGAAGCTTACTACATCCAACACACTTCACGATAGCAATTTTCTCCTTCACGGCCCAAGACCAAGTGACGTAGTCAGCCCGAGCCCTCTTCACGAAGCTAGCAGACCACATCCACGACGCGGCAAGGACCATCATTCACACGCTTATTTTCCCGTCACCCACCATCATCATCCTCACCACCATCATTCATCGTCGGCCATCCGTACGCAGCCTCACTGTTCCCGATAGCGAGCTCCCTTGTGCACAGATTTCCGGCGAGTCTCCGCCACGCGACCAGCACTTCAGAGCTGAATTCTCGCAGCCATGGGCCCACTCGCGGCCGCGGAGCTTCCCTTCGCCGCGGCCAGCGAACCTTCCCGCGGCCGCGGAAGCTGCGAAATTAAATATTAAAGATCAAATTTTGGCCGACTGTGAGCAGAATTTTTCCAGCCTAGGTTTTACATTTTTCAGATTTTTTTTCGTTCCTCATCAAAAAAAAAATAATAATAATAATAAAAGGGGGCAGATCTCTCTCTCTTCTCTTTGAATA